TCAACTCATGGTATGGTTTTCAAGTACTTTCCTAACATTCCACACGTTGGAATCACCCCCTCCAGACTGCTAACATTAGGATGTCTACTTCCTGACAAATCAAACATGTTGAGATTCATACCCAGATCTCATAATCAGATAGCAAACTTTCTAGCCACTCAGCCACATGCCGATATATTTATTATTACTATTGCATATTATTATATATATATATATTATTATTATCACTATTACATATCATTATTTACACAATTATTACTAATATATATATATATATATATAATTATTATTATAAAAAAGGTGCTGTATGGATAACTACCAAACTCCAAGCATTCAGTTTCACTCTTACATTACAACAACAAATTAAAAGACAACTTGAAACGTCTCAATTTTAACCTGAAAACCTGGGAAGCCCAAGGATCAAACCGAAAGGAGTGGCATAAGACATGTTTCATTAAGTTGAAGGGTTTTGAAGACAGTCGACTGAAGCACCATGATCAGCTTTGTCAAGCTCTAAAGCAGAGACGCCATCAAAATCTTGCTTCAACAAATTTCATCTGTTGGTGGGGCTTTGTCACCCACAGCAAGGCTGGGCTAGTATCGCACTTAAGAAATCATAAATGAAATATGTCTTTCCCTTACCTGATTTTCTCCACAATAGCCCCTGCTAGCATGCATAAGTGTAAAACGAAAGGCACCATCAACTGCTGACCCTTATTTATCATTCACAATAGGAGAGTCCATTATTATTATTACATAGTTTCAACTGTTAAATGAGGAGACCTTTCTGCCAATCTAGTACTGCACTTGAATTCATAAAAATCGTGGTATCAAAGAGGGAAGCTGTGTTATGGTGTTGGGAAAGTGACTGAATCTGAGATGACAGATTTTTTATAGTATATTTAGGCAGCCATCTTTCATTTAAGCATCTTCTATTAAATAGAATTGACTGTATAGAGGCTTTCTAATCAACTTTTGTTCCACCATGTTGATTTTACTCATTAATACTATACTAATATTTTTTTAAAGTTACCCGATCGGAAATAGTGTAGATTTTATGTTGCCATTTAAAAGATTTCTTTTTTCTTTAAACTCAAAGAGTTACTGTCTGAATTTTGGGGATGAGGAGTTATCTTTATGTATGTATGCAGTTTTAATTCAACACTTCACATAAATAGAAATGCTACTGCTATTAAGCTATTTTAGCTTGCTAAATTAATAACATTTCTGTATTTATTCTTCGGAACCAATTTCCTGATCATCATTCTTTCCATTATATAATACAACCACAGTTCCCTCCAACCTTCACACAGAAATTATCAAGTTAACCCATCATAACAAAATAGTTTTTTGAGTTTTTTTGTTTTTTTTTAAATCAAATTCACTCCAAGCAAGTCAGTAAAGCCTCATGAGGTTACTGAGTATAAAAGAATTAGAAGAAAAAAAAGACATTATTAAGGAGTGAGAACAATAGAAGAGTAATCAGTAAGACAGTAGATAATAATTGACAATCCTTCTAAGTTTTTAAGATCAAAGTTGACTGGAAAGCATGGAGCTAGAAGAGAGTTCCACAAGTGAGAAATGTAAGAAAAGAAACTGTTAGCATAGAATTTATGGTGACATCTAGCCAATTCAACTGTAAATTGATGAGACCTAGCCACCAATCTAGTACTGCACTTAAATTCATAAAGCCTAGATACTATAGCAAACAGCTCATCCGAACAATCAGCATGAAAGTATTTATAGAAAAGGAAACTACATTATGGTGGCAGAAAAATAAACTGAAGCTGAAACACCAGGCCAGGATCAATAATATTAGTGATTCTTCTTTGGATTTTATCAAGAATCTCTAAATATATAGCAGGAGCACCAGACCATATGTGACAGCAATATTTAATGCATGCTCCAGATATATATTTAGAGATTCTTGGTTCTTGATTATTGGTCCTGATCTGTGTTTCCCCATGCCTTTTCTATAAGTACTTTCATGGTAATTTTTCTGATGAACTTTCACATCTGGTGGTATAAAGGTTCTCCAACCAAAAAAAAAATCTTCTAAGGCAGATAAAAAATAAATTTATTTTATAATTGCTTAATCCAGAATAAAAAAAAAATAAATAAAATGTGTAAACAATTTTCAAAATTACTTCTCATTTCTCTAATCATTTCATTCCAAGCAAGGCAGGGGTGACAGAGAGTGAAAGTGAGAAAAAAGACTAGATTTGGTGGGGATTGAGGAAAGAATAAAAGATGAAAAAGATTTAAGATGACAGAAGATGGCAATTGATATTGCATTTAAAATTTAAGATTGTAGTTTTCAGGGATGCAAGTAAATGGGAGGGAGTTCCACTGTTGGAGTAGAAGTGGTGGTTGCATTTAACTATTTCAGCAGTAAAAGGGTGGGACCTAGATGCCAATCTAGTAGCATGCTTGAATTCATGTAGTCAGGGCAAAAGGGGGAAAAAAAGCTCATCAAAGCAGTTACCCTGAAAATTACAGAGGGAAGCCACATCATGTCTGTGAGAAAGTGACTGAAGTCGAGATGCCAAGTCAGTCACTTTACCACTCAAAAGGTGGAAAAATACTGACATACTCATTGCAATTTCAAATTATCAGAAAAATTAATGGAAATATTAAGGGTTTTCAAAACCAATGGAATAGCAAGTCATCTCATTAAAATTAATATAGGGATATTCTAATGAGATGATTTGCTACCATAATTATTCAGTACTCTTACCACATTAGTTAAAAAAAAAAATAGTTAACTATTTCAGTAAATTACTTGCTGCAATATGGATGAATTTAAATCTAAGGGAGGTAACTCTTTTCTGAAATTTATATTAAAAATAAAAACTGCTTATAAATAAATTTATAGTAAGTTTGAATCATTGACGTTATTGCTTTGTTTGGTCTTTGTCTCTATAATATATATAGTGTTAATGAGTAAGCATGTGACCAACACCTTAACAAGTAGGCATGTGGTTAAGGAGTTGGCCACAAGCTTAATCATTAAGGAGTTAAGTATTCCAACCATATAAAAGCCATGGTTGATTTGACAAAGATGTGATTTCTTGATAATATGGCCTGTGCAACACCTTTGGAAAGTTGACTAAAGCCTTGTGAGAGAAAAGCTGTTTAGAAACTGTTGATGGTAGTGCTTGTACAAAGTTAAAAATCATTGTAATCAAGAGTTTGCATGTACTGGCCTTATCCAAACTGATTACCATGCCACATGATGCGTTCTCTCCCAGAAACTGAGGCCTGCACAACATTATTGAAGTACAAAACCATAGGTTGACTGTGATTATTGAAACATCATAAATGTGCCTGTAACAGATTATCCAGCCACCCTATCAAACAAGTATGTTCAGATAGGAATGGCCAGCCTTATATACATATAAATAAAATTATCTCAGTTCCTTTTTCTTTTTTTTGAAAACAATGATGTTCAACTTGTACAAGGCCCAAGAGCCACTCTAGGCAGAGGATTACAGAGTAAAAAGCACAGTATGCGGTTATATGGAGAAGATAACAGTTAACCCTAGACTTAAAAAGATTTAAGATTGTAGTGATTGGGGAAGCATCCTCTTGAGAGTGGGTTCACAAAGTAGCAGTTTGTAAAGAGCTGTTCAACTTTCATTAACACCAATAGAATACAAAGGAAATGAGGGTGAGGGTGTTTTGCTACAATGTGAATGGCATGGCAGGTCTTAGTCATGAAGGTTGGAACTGGTGGAACTAAGGAATGTAGTTCACCTGAACATTTTCCATGGAAGTAGCAATAGAGTAGCAAGAGGCTTGCAATGTTTTGTCTGTGGGAAAGGGGTTATAGGGTGTAAAATAATTCACCACTCAAAAGGACACAGAGATGCTTTTGAACTATCAAAACTAGACAGCTCCTGCCTATATATGGCAGCAGTAAGTAGTAAATGATTTCAATCCAAATAAATAATTAATGAAAAACGTGACCAGTAATTACAGTCATAAGTTTATTTTATTAAAGTGAATCATTGTGAAATGATTGACAATGTTTCATCTAATAAAAAAAAAAAAAAAGAAACTAGTGCTGCTATTGATACTACAAGTGCCAAAACAAAAATGGTGCCAAGAGAGATAATGAAATCAAGTGATGGCTTTACAGATGGGATTATTTTTTTTTCTACAAAGCTGTTGTTTTTTATGGTTTATCAACCTTTGGCAAGTTATTTAAAGTCAGAAAAAAAATTTTTTTTAGATAGGAAGAATTTTTTTAGAGATAATAATGATTTATTGTTACAAGTTCTACTAATTAACCCAAGCATAAGCAAATCTGTTGAGCTCTGATATCTTATAAGTTAAAGCTGCTGGTACATTTAACCAGGCTTCTTTGAGACAAAAGAGATGTCTTTTACATTATTTACAGTCAAACTAATGTTCTCATCTTTGTTATTACTTTTAGTCATTATGCCCTCAAAAGAAAATCAATTACTGGCAATTAATATTAATTTTGATAAGTAATTTAATTTTTACTTACTTTTAATTCTAACTTAGGCAATTAGTAAATGATGCACATCAACAATAAAAAAAAATAAGCTCTTCATAAGATTTGAACTTTCTCTCTTTTCTGAGATAATGAGTTATTTACAGGTGTTACCACATTGAATGGCCTAAGTAAAGTGATGAAAAAAAAACAATTAAAAATTAAATTAATCAAAATTAATAATAGCAAGTAATTCTTTTTTTTTTGATTGATTTGTTTTCTATGGCTTATCAACCTTTTGCAGGTTATTTAAAGACAGAAAATATTTTTTAGATTGTAAAATTTTTTTTTTAGATAACGATTTAGTGATACAAGTTTTAATAATTAACCCATAGCTTGGGGAAAGAGGTAGATTCATACTTTTCCCAAGGTTATTTGTGCATAAGCGAATATAATGAATCCAACTGGAATTGGAACTTGGCTCTCCAATTAACAATTTCAAGCCATTACCCATTCATTACACCACCCACACATTCAAGCTTATAGCACCTGGTATTCCTAAGTGGTCACCTATCTAGGTACTAACCAGGCTCAACATTGCTTAACTTCAGTAATTGTACAGGAAACAGTGTTTCAACATAATATGGCCATAAGCCTCTTTTTTTCTTTGAAATTGTTGTCATCTGTTAAGTATTTGCTGAACTGAGAAATGATTGCCATGTGTGTTTTGTGCAACTACAGTTTGTTACTTGAAATTACCCATTAAAAAAAAATGACATTCTTTTTTGCATGTGAACTTGTATCTTATGAGAAAACTGAAGCAAGTTTGGCTGACTTATTACTTTCTAAAATTACATTTTTATAACTGTAAAAAAAAAAAAAAAATCTTATTCACATTGATACTTAGTATTCAGATGAGATGAAGTCATTCTCTTTGTAAGAAATATCATTATGACTGCTAAAAAAAAAAAAAAAAATCCCTTCTCCCCAAATCATAGAGATGCATGCTGGGATTTCTTCCTAACCAAGAAAAAATAAAAAAATAAAAAAAAATGGACAAATCTTGCTCTTATCCCCACATTTTTGTTCTTTCTTTGCTTGAAGTCAGAAAGCTATAATCACCTGAGTATATCTCTTCTGCATGTGAACACTTTCTATTTGATGAGCTTTTTTACTTTATCATTTTATAGTTACTTTGCTTTTGACTTGCATTATATGTTTTGTTAGGTATTATTTTACAGTTCTTTTTTTCTTGCTCTTATTGTTTCACGAGATTTTATTTATTAAACTGTATTCCATCTATCAGCAGTTTCACCTTTCATTCATCCCCCACTCCTCCCCAGTCTTTTGAACAAGAGTAGGTTTATCCCATGTTTCCTGTTTAGGATTGGATTCCCTCTAACGTCAGCTTCAGTTCTGTGCTCCTAATGTTTGTTCTTTCCTATGATATGAATCCATACAGTAACCCTCTACATTGAGTGGTTCTTGGGCCTATAATTGGAGTAACATTTGTAAAAAAAAAAAAAAAAAAAAAAGAATTTTGTCATTCATGCTTAACCACGCTTGTTTATTCTACACTGATAATTTAAAAAAAGAAAAGAAAAATTTACCATGTAATTAATATGAAAAAACTTAATAAGCATAAATAAGTAAAACAATGTATGCATAGATATGCCTCTCCCCTATTACCACCACCACAGAGAGAGACACAAGGTGCTAGAAGGGGTGGAAAAGGGAAAAAAATTTCAAGTTTCTGATTACCACCTAGGAAACTTCTAGTTGCAATTGAATATTAACATTGAAAGAGGGTTACATTCTTGGCACCTCATGGCAATTCACGGATTGCTTCTGAACTCCCCTCCTCAGTTCTGAATATTTTTGTGATGCCTCATGGAAGATCTTGATGTTGTCAGCAATACCAGCTCTCCAAACCCAGTCTTCAGTTAGTCTCCCAGTTATCCAGACCAATATAATACCGTCATGGTAGTCCCCAAATACATCAAGCAGTACAACTGTAAAGTAGATAGAAAACAATGTAGCAAACTTGAATTGCCCTGTAAAGCACTCCGCCAAAATTTCACAGGCTTCCATATAGTCATGGAAGGACCTCAAAATCCTGAGAAAGTGGGAGAGACAGCCCAATTTCAAGAGGATCTTCCGGAGCTCAGTATGATTAACAGTGTCAAAAGCTTTCCTCAGATCTACAAATATTTGATAATAGTCCATTTGTTGTTCACAGCTCTTTTTCTGGAAAATCATATCTGGTCCCTCTGTGTTGGCAGAAACTACACTGTGACTCAGGCAATATGTTGTCAACTATCCTCTAATTTAATCTTAATAAGAAAACAGAGGCTAAGATCTTACCTGCTGAAGAAAGGAGAGCAATCACTCTATAATTACCACATAATTCCCAGGCACCTTTACACTTATATATAGGTATCATTGTTGCATCCCTCCAAACCTTTACAATAAGAACATGTATAAATTAACTTAAATGTATTACACCATAACAGAATATCTCAGCAGAAAGGCCATCAACCCCAACAGTCCTGCCCATGCTGAGTCCCTCTGTTCAACAGCCTATCAAAGTGTTTCTTCCATCTTTTGGTCATGTTATCCATGTCTGTGAGGAGATCATTGCTCCTCTCAGGACAGAGGACAGCAATCTTGGTGGATCTGGGGCCAAATACTTGTTTCATTAAGCAGGACATCTGCTTGGTATAATTTGAATTTGTATTTAATCTGCTAACTCTGACCACCATTTTTCTTGTATAGTTTGAAGAGCATGTTAAGCTTCTGCAGCTTTAAACTCCTTGCACAGTTTACTGTATTGTTCACTGGACAGGTCTTTTCGCAACAGAACTTCATATCTGATTCTTTCTATCTCCTTGATAGCATCTTCAACATTTTGCTGGCATTTTACCTAAAAACTTCCTCGGCCACTTCATATATATTCTTCTTCAAAGAGTCCCATGAAGAATGTATCATTGATTTCAACAAGTCCAGAGAGTGCAGGTGGCTTTCTATTGTTTTGTCTAGTTGCTGGTTTAAGAACGAAGTTCATTTTGGTCCTCACTAGAGCATGATCAGTCCAACAATCTGCACCATGCATAGATCTAACAATATATCTCTTGCGGACGATGACATAATCAATGAAATCCCACTAGCATGAACAAGAATGCATCCATGTAGTAACATGATCACCCCATTGCTAGAGATGAAAAGATTAAACAGTGCAAAGTTCAAGAAGCATTAAACCACTGGTGTTGATTTTTCCCCGACGTCATATTTCCCCAAACTATTTCAGAATTTTACATGCAAGTGTTGAAAAGTTATAAACTCTGCCTGATTAAAAAAGAACTTTTTTTTGAGAACTTTTTTTACCACCACCCCCGACTTATATATGACCTTTTCAATACACATTTTTGGATAGTGTTGTCATTTCTGCTTTTTTTTTTTGTTTTTTTTTTCCCCCCGCTTAAAATTATTTTCAAGTATTCCCTATTTGCAATTGTCTGAATAATAAATCAACCATTAGTGATGCCATTGCCTTTTCCAACTCCTTCAATGACAATATTATTCCCTGCTATGTCTAACCAACAAACATCTTTATCTAATATCTATTTTCCCTTCTAGCTTTGCTACCTAATGGGCACTAATCAAGCAACCTTTTGTTATTTCATCACTTTTATATCCATTATCTTGGTCTATTCCTTATTCTCAGCATTGATTTTTGTGTATTTTGGAGTTGATAGAGTATATGTAAATATAAAAGCAAACATTGAAGTCAACACTCAAAAGTGATGAAAAAATTCAACATGTGGCTTGATGATTGCGTTTAGCATGAAACAGTGTTGACTTCAATGTTCACTTTTATTTATTTATATATAATATATATATATATATTTGATGAGACTTGATGTGTTTTTTATCCTGAAATAGCAATTTCACTGGGGAAAAGCCCATCTACTGGCCTAGAAGGATTAAGTTTTATTAAAGAAAATATACTGCTTGGTAGGGATTTACATTAGGTAAAAAAAAAAAAAATAATTTCATTTTGCCAACGTCCTACAGGGACATTCCATATAGAAGATATTTCTCATTGGATTTCACTATATGGAAAAGTAAAAGAAAAAAAAAAACATGGGGGGTCTACTAAAACATGTACAAATTATTATGAATTTAAAAATCCACAGAATTTCATGAAAGACAGAAAAACAAACACTGGCAACAACCTAACACAACTGAAAACATTTTGCACATTAGAGTTGTTTTCATAAGTTCCTGTTTTTAATTCATTGGTTTTTATTATTTTCTGAATAGTTTTTTTGAACTTCATTCTAGGTGCTAATTTTTTGTTAATATTTTGTATTAATAATTTGACATGAAAAAAATTTTGTAGGCATTGTATAATAATGCTGTTCCAATATGTGTGTTAAAAAACAATTATTTTATCCTTCATTCTGATCAGGGTCCAAACATATTTACATAATAAATTGGCATGCACTATACATTTGAATAATGTCCAAGAATTAGGACCAACTGCTCTCAATCTTATACTGATTATCTGCCGGTATGTCTTAAGTTCTTGCTAGATTCTCACATTTATTTTCTAGTGAATGTTAACTGATTATTTAAAGATGTTTTGAACAAGGAGTCATTTGTACATATATAAGAAGGTCAGTTTATAGTTTAGAATCCACTTTCAAACAAAATCCAATGAAAACATGAATAAGTACTTTTAATGCCAACATCAAGATACTTTTTACAATAAATTCTGTAATATCAATAAAATGTTACATCATTTATAAATATTGTCATTAAAGTAGATGAAGGTCACATTTTTTAGGATGCAAGGAGTGAAAATGTTTTTAAATAAAATAAAAAAAAAATTACAATAGTTAGTTACTTATTGTAATTTATTTAAATGAATTTTTCCACAAACTTTGTTCACCCCCCACACAGCCATTCATAATTTCACTTATTTACACATAATAGAGACAAAAAAAAAAAAGTTATTCAAAGCCTATTATTTTTTAATAATTAGCATAAAAACCAAACAACTTATTTTTTCTGATTAAGATTCAAAGTTTGTTTTTCTTTTATTTTAAATTTAGACAAGCTCTAAACTAATACTACCTCTGTCCCATAATAGTTAATTACTATTATGGAATAGAGTTAGCCATGACTAAATTGAAAAGATCTAACCTATTATAGTAGAATGATTTGCCAGCCTGTGCTAAATACTACTTTGTGGGCTTTAAGTCATTTTTAGAAAGTAATGCTTAAAATATCACAATTTTAAATTTTCTAAAACGTGAAGAATAAAAAATAGACTTAATATATCATTGAAAATTAAAACTGGTTTTAAGGTTTCGATAAACAGTAAGGCAGCTGTCAATGAAGACAAATCCTTCATCCCATCTATAAACAATATAATTTATTTTTTTAATATTGATCCAATCTCCTCTAAATTGTACCAAAAAACAAGCATACATTAGTTGACTGTTGCTATGACAACAGATTTTGTAAGGAGAGGAAAGTGAGATTTGTTGTATTGAGATATTTAAAAGTGTGTGTAATAGCTGTGATGATCATAAAGACAAAAAAATATTTAAGTTTTAAATTTTGAATCTTGTTTTATCTTTATGATAAAATGATTGTAAGTTAAAAGGTGCAGTTTTACAGTCTATTATATAACTAACACCAATTTAGAGATCAGTTACCAATAAACTGTTTTACTTATGCATGCAAAAAGAATGTTTCTTAGATTATCTTCCCAAGGTTTTACACAACTGTCCATGGACTTTGGTTTATTAAAAAAAAAAAATTGTATGCCTTGTCCCCATTTGTTTTTAAAGACATATTCCATGAGAAAATCATTGCACAATAAAAATGCAAAACAAGTAAAATATAATATCTTCAAATAGAGTTGCTTTGACCATGATTTTTTAAAATTATTTTAATGGTACCAGGTCTAAATTATCACAGAATATTGAAATGCCATTGTCCTTTTTTTTTTCTTCTTCCTCACTTAGACTTGTTATCATTTAGCCATTTATGTATTTTTTCTTTCAGTTCTGTATTTGAAATAACCATGTCCATTGTCAGTGGCTTCCTGTTAAATGGATCAGACTGGTCACTGGAATAAATAAATTAAATAGTTTAAATAATACAATAGACTAAAAAGTATTTTTTTTCTATACATACTGATGTTAAATTTGAACAAGAATTATTGTAATTAAAAAGATATTAAAACATCAACCCATATATTTTTCAAAATATATATAATTTTATAGTATATCTGTTACACTTCTGTAGAGAAATAAGCATGGAGGTTGAGAGAGGCAATGAGTGGAAAAAAAACCCAGAGCCAGGTAAGAATAATATATATATATATATATATATATATATATATATATAGCTATATACTCATATTCAAGGATACCCGTCTACTAGGGCAACTAGCCAATGACCTTGCTCAGGCACATTTGTGTTTGTTCAACACCCACAGAGTCCACCTGTGGTTTAGACTGCAACTTTGCTGAGCCAGACCTTAGTTACAGTAACTAGCATGATCAGCAATTTTGAATAAGGCCAGCACAGTCAAACTCTTGATCACGATGACTTCATGCTAGCACAACTATCACCAGACGCCCAAGTGCTCCATCTACCCAATTTCACTCACGGTATGGTTTTCAGACACTTTCCAAAAGATCTTCCCCCTCCAGACTGATAACATCAGGAAGTTTCCTTCCTGACAAACCAACCATTGTGAGATTTGAACCTGGGTCTCATGGGCATGTGGCTGATTGGTTAGAACATTCGCTTTCTGACCATATATATATATATATATATATATATATATTTATTTATATTATTTATTTAAAAATAACATAAATGTTATAGAATCCCTATGAAAATAGCCATTTTATTTCAACACCTCTGGTGTCTTATCAAGTGATAAAAGGTTCAAATTAATTAACCACCCCTTGTAAGGGGAAATGCTGTTACACAAGCTGAAATTTTGATTAGTCATTTCAGCTCGTGTAACAGCGTTTCCCCTTACGAGGGGTGGTTAATTAATTTGAACCTTTCAAAACCTTTATTCTACAATCTACATCATCACTTGATAAGGCACCAGAGATGTTGAAACACAAATGGCTATTTTTGTAGTGATTTTATAACATATTTATGTTATAATTTTTAAATAAATAATTATATTCGCTCTACTCTGTATTGAACACTCTTAAGAATAGTAATTGTTGGTTATTGGAATTTATTCTGTATACACCAATCATATACTTGGAGATATATATATATATATATGGTTATTCAAACGAATGGACAGGTTTCATTACGCAATATTTTTAATAAGGAAAACCAATAGCCAAGTCACATGTATTTTAAGCAATCAATTTATATTTCCTGTCTTACCATGGTAAGTGCCTGTATGAGGCATAAAGTTTCAAATGTCATTTTCTTGGCACGTGCATGATGATAGCAAGCTCATGGCTACCTCAAATGCAGGAAACTCTTCTTTCAAATGTTCATATTTTTTAATAACCTGGTGTGTGTGTGTGTGTATATATATATATATATATGGGAAATACCTAGCATTGCTTGGAAGATCTCTGAATAATAGTTTATTAATGACAATTTATTGATATTTTTCAGCCATCTATACATACATAAAATGTAGTTGTCTGTATGTGTGTGACTAAAAAAACTAGAGTAATAGTGGTAATAATTCTTATTCCGAATTAGGATTACCATTCATTTTTACTTTTTAATACTGTGGATACTTTCAAAACACTATAAACGTTATTTTCATATCTATAGTAAATAAAAGAATATTAAATAATTATTTGATAAAAAGTTTGATATTTATTTATTCAAATATTTGAGTGCGTTTAACTTAATATTTTTTTTTTTATTCAAACTTTAAAAAATATTAAAAAAATAAACATAATTGTAAATAATTATTTATCAAATAAGGCCTGCTATAGTTTTCCTTTAAGAAAATTATATATATCTTCCATAGATCAGCATGATTTCCTCACAAATAAATTACTTGTGTAAAGTTATCTTACCTCAAGAGATGCCGTGCTATGACTGTACGATCAAGAACAGTTTGAGATGTGGGTAGAATAACAGGATCTTTCATCAAAGTTCCCATAATTGGATCAAGGAATTCATCTGGTGCTTCAGCAACCATTTCATCCTCCTCTTTTTGTTTTACTTCCAATGCCTAAAAAAAAAAGTTTCTTATCGATCATTTTTGGTGAGGAGTTTTCAAGGATAAGAAAAATAAGTGTAAAAAGAAGACTATTTTTTCTTTTTTCCCAAAGACCATGAAATAAAAACCAAACAGAATTGTCACATTCTATAGAAAAAGGAAAAACTGTTGGCAGGGTGGCACATTTTGAGCACCTGTGACAACATAAATATATAATGGCATTTTTGTTACATGAAAATTATATGTTGGTCTTAGATTTTGATTGAAATACCATGTAAAAACCAAATTGATTCTTATACCCTTAATGTTGTTTCAACTTACAAATATTTTCACAAAAGTGATTTTTATTTTTTTTTAATTTTTTTTAAAGCTTACTTCCAAATTTGAGAAGACATCAATAAGAGCAGTCTCTTTATAATTCACTAGCTTCCCCCAAAATATTTTTACCTACTTATATTCTTTTTGTATATATTTGTACAGAGCGCATTAAAATTCTATAATAAAAACCTGAAACACTAGTGAGAAAAATGGTTTAAATGCAATCCATAGCCTGACAGAGTTATTAATGGAACAGAAAAGTGGGGGTACTTTTCTTTTTTTTTTTCAGAAGGTTAATGTAAATTTTCGATAATGAAAATATTTTCCTATAGGTCTCTAATTAAAAAAAAAATTAAAAAAAAGCAGCTAATTAAGAATCCAGCACAATTAAAACTATATAGGATTCTGGATAAATAACTTTGCTTACAATTTTAAATTTCTTCATTATACAAAAGAGAAATGCCAGTGTATAATAAACATAAGTTTGTCACAGATAAATCACTTTCAAATTTATGCAGTATTTCTTACAATGCAAGTTATAAATTTTAAAAAATATATAAAGTAAAAATTGCAGGCACCATCAACTCAGTGGTGACATACAATGTAAGCTGAAAATATCCATAGCCTTGAAAGGTGTCCACTGCCTGACAATAGTTATAGATTATTTCAAATCCTCTAATTATAATAGATAATAATGCTAAGCATTCCATCTACAACAGAAATTTTATGGTATAACATGGATAAATCATGCTACAAGGTGCTTTAAGAAAAATTGTTCTACTTTTTGGGAATTTATATATAAGTATTTATTATATAAAATCTCAGATTGTTGAAAGGTGAATGAAGTTAATTTATTGCCTAAGATAAAAAAAAAAAAGAATTCAATATAAGTTTAATGTTTAGCATGTGTTTGACAAAGAGTGATTCTGGTATATCATCATTGGTGAAACAAAAAAAAAAAAAAGTAAATAAAATATATTTAATATAAACTATTGATATTTCAAACCATATTTTCCTTGCTTACATATATATGTATAAGCTATTTTAATATTTCTACCATTCACAAAAAAAAAAAAAAAAATAACATACTGACCTTGATTTTTTTGTCAAGTTCTTCAAAACTGTCAATGAATTGAGGAAGACGTCCTATTTTCCGTAAAACATGTGTTGCTTTGGCAAGCAGCCCACTTGAGTATGAGCGGCCATCAGATGAGACAGCCAAACAAAATCCTTCATCTTCCCCAAGATTGATATAGATTTGGCAAATGTCAGATACTATCTGCTGAGGCTTAAACTCATATTCATTTTTGTCTTTTACATTAAAATTTTTCTGTTTTGGACCAACCTGAAAGGAACAATATCAAATTTAAAAAAAGAAATCAAAGTTTAAACAAAGATATCAATTAAGGAAAATTGAAGCAAATGTCTTTCACTGATATTAATTTAATCCACAAACTACCTATTTATTCTGACATTTGTAAAAAAAAAAAAAAAAAAAAAAAATCTATTCTTTGAGTGTAGTTTCTGCCAGGTACCCAAGTTTTTTGAGCTGGAATTGGTTATTTAAGCATAGTTTCAAATACATCCTTTTGGTCATTGTATTTGATTGATTTAGACTAATTTTCCATGTCTTTGTTTTTCAGAATGTTTCAGCCTGCCAGACTGCTGTTTTCCGGAGTGTGATCAAAGTTTCCTCTCTCATCTGATGTCTGCATCTGTTGGATTCTTGGGATCATTTTCTGGGCCTCTGACCTTACACAATCCATCTCTCAGCCTGTACCACCAGAATCCAAAGTTTATTGCTGGTTCTTTTCTCAGTAATGCTTCCCACAAGCTATTTCTCTACTGATTGAATATACTTATATTATTATTCTTTTAACATTGTAATTAAGTTAAAGAGAGAAATAAATTAAGCTAAATCAATCATATGCATCAATTAAAATCATTTGTAATTTCACTCTTATTAATTACAAAAAGGGCTAAATACACTGAAGATCTAAGTTGGAAACTGTTTTACAAAATTGAAAGTAAGAAAATAATATTGCAAATTTCAATAACCGCATTTAAAAAAAAAAAAAAATCTATTAAAATTCTTTTATTAAATTTACATAAAAACAGCTACAATATACCATATATACTTGTGTATAAACCTACTTCATGTGTAGTGTTACCCCTGAATTTCTTTATAAAAAACCCGATTTTTTTCATATAGCTTGTGCATGATGCAACCCCAGCTTCTGGGCAATACTAGTAGGCCTACTGTAGTAAAAAAAAAAAAAAAAAATTGCAGTACTAAGCATCATCTTCGACATAGCAAATAAATTGTCTTCATACTTTGTGTACAAAGCTACCCCTAAATGATGAAAACAAAAACACACACACACACTTACCACTTAATATAATACAAAGATTTAGATACCATACTATGTTATGGGAGGCAGGCTAAAAGAGTTGACCTGTACCGTTAAGATTAGCCAAAGGTACTGTGATAATGCAGGCCTACCAGGTAAGTTATGGTTATTAAAAATGCATGAATTTAAAGCCCTCCATAAAAATTTACATTACATGTAAACTGCACATTGCAATGCTCATTTTGGGAAAGATAGTCCAGTGATTTTTCCTTACCAACTCTAAGGCTTTCATACTCCCAGAATCACCTTGGTTTAGTCTTAATTCTTTGTCGAATTTCTGCTGTATATACTGGTGCATATGCCTCCCTCATGTATAGTGTGACACTTAAATCAGGTTTTTCACAAAAGATTAATTTCATATAGCACATGTATAAGTTGACCCTAACTTCTGAGCAATACTAGTGGACCTACCAGGTAGGTTATAGTTACTGAAAATGCATGAATTTTAAGCCCTCCATAAAAAATTACTGTTGCATAAACACACAAATTTTTAACTAAAAAAAAAAAATTATTTTGTAAAAGTAATTATTAAAGTAAAACTAAATCCACTCAAAACTGATAGTGTACTATAAAAATAACTTTTATACCCTATGAATATATAAATAATTACATTAATAAGTCAAAACCTGGAATTTACTCACCAAGTGCAGGAGGAAGTAATTCAACATTTCTGAAATTCGCGTCACCATGGAAGCATGGGTAAATATAGATTTAATTTCACGGGATAAAAGTTCAAGGGCATGAATTGTAGAAACAGCCATCATGTTGTGGTAACGAGCTAGCATACTGATCTGGCGCAAATCAGACATTCGTTCTCGGCGTTGATCAGAGGGTAATTGATTCAGGAGCCAGAATCTTTTTCTTGCTGTTTCTCTTTTATTTGCATCATAAACTGGAAAATAAGATGAGCTTTTATTGCAAGGACTTCAATAAATTCTATCATGTAGTTTTGCAATTTATAAGAAGGAAAAAAAAAAATTACAAAAAAAAAAAAAAAAAAATTTTTAAAAGGAGGTAAAACAAAAAATCTCTTAAGAATTGTTATCGGTGTATTTATTATACTTATTTGAAAATGTTTCATCTTACAATTCAGAAATAGAAAAATAACTCCATTTAAAGTTGTGGCCAATCCATATATATTCGACTAAAAATCATCATCCTTCTTGCTTTTCAAGAATTTCAGGAAATTTCTAACAAAAAAAAAAAAAAAAATTCTACCATATATTGTGGAATCTTACTTTTACATTTTGCAACACCCTAGACTTGTTTATGCTAAATACTGATGACATGTGTACTCTAACCTTTTCATAAGATCTTAGTATCTTATTGTTTCAAACTAGAGTTTGTCCTTGATGAACATTAAAAAAAAAAAAAAGTCAGAAAAGTAAGATATTTAAAATTTTGTAAAAGATATCTGTAGAGAAAATGAACATGCAGAAATGTATACCATGCATACTCCTAGCTGATCAAAATAGCTAAAGCATTTAAATTATCCTTCAGAATATAAAATAAAAGCAGTAAGAGCCAAACAAAGTCTTTAAACTATTGTTAGAGACTGTATCAAAGCTGAAGGTTCTCAAAGTGGATAGAATTCTGGACACAAGTTGGTCATCAACATTTGCTTTATTTTCAAAAACAGAAATAATTTGCTTGACAGAAACAAATTGCATATTTGGCATTACAATTTACAAGTTTGCTTTAAAAATTTATTCATTTTCAACTACACAAAATACTGATCAAATCATGGTTGGTGGTTTTGTTTTACAGCTTATCAACTCCTCATTCTGAAGGAACAAAATAAAATGTAATAGTTTTTCAAAATTATCTACTACAAGATCCAAGAGCCATTTAAGGTAAAGGATTACAGAGTAAACAGTAAGGTAACAGATTATTTTTCCAGCATTAGCAATGGATCATATGTACAAGCTCCACTTGCAGTCTGGGTTGAGCTTAAGTCACAATAGGTACTCAAGAAGAGAGCACCCATTCATCACTATACTAAACTTAGTTTAGTTTAAGTCAATTTAATAGTAACTTCATAACTGGGGGAACTTGTACAGCAACCCCCCTTCTGAAAGACTTTTGAAATATCTAAGTCCATGAGTTGTATTTATTTCCTAGTGAATCACATACTGTGAGTAATGACAGAATATCAGCAGTGGACCAAACAGATCAAAATCTATACTGTTTGTTGCTCAAGAGGTAATTGAGGTAATCAACAACACTCTTGTTGATTATAACTTCAAAAGTTTGATAATGACACTGAGGAGGCTGATAAGTTTATCCTTCTTCAAATAGTCTGCTCTCTTACAGGACTGAAGATACCTACACTGTAACCAATGTATTTCCTTATTTATTTATTTATTTATTTTTACTAATGTTCTCTAAAAGAAAGGCCAGTATGTCAATCCAAGCTCATCTTGACAACATTTGTTTCGTTCTGGAGGATAACCAGAAAATGATCAAAAGCATGAAAAACAATGCTAAAGAATATGGACAATTTCTTCAAAAGTGTTTTTTTTGTTAGTTTTGTTTTTTTAAAAAGATCTTGAGTATTGTGGTCAAAGTTGTGGATAAACTGTCCAAAGGTCATATTTTTTTATTTTTGCTCAAGTACTTTCAACTTTCGCAGTCAGTATCAAGAATTAATGTGATGTCTGTGTGACAGAATGAATTTGTCTACATCCTGGAATTCTCTCAGCTTTCCAAATACCAGGATGTAGACTAAACTATTAGACTTGATAAAATCTATAAGCAAGTTAACCATCACTTTTTAAGAAGAAAGAAAAAAAAAAAACACTACAGACAAACAACACAAGGTGATAATTTACTTACTGATAAAGCTTCATCTAAGAGAAAAATTGCATCATTGATAAGCAAGTTGATGAAGCGAAGAAAGAGAGGGGCATCAGAAGCTTCTATATTTTCCTCAGCATAAACGGCCAATTCCTGAAAAATACGAGAAACAGTTTTCAATCAAATAGAAAGAAAGACATTTAATATTAGCCATAAGCATAAAACATGAAGCTATGGTTTGATCCTTACTCAACAATAAAATATTTCTTCAATTAACTTGACTTTTTTTTTTTTTTTAAATTTACTCCATGATGATTATGCTCACATGACAGCATGAGGACAGAAAAGCAAGTTGTATTGATTGATAATTATTTAAAAGAAATAAAGATTACTCTTGCAAAATGAAAGAACCATCAGTTGAATTTTTATTTTTAGAAATTTAGAAAAAAAAAATCCTTTCAGTTAACAAATACAGATTTCAGCCCATAAATGCAAAAATTTTTTTCTTTTTTAAAAAAAAAAAAAAAAAATTGTCTTATTTAATGTTACTGCAAGTTAAAGTGAAAAAGTGGTAAGTGAAATAAAAATCCAGATAGAAGTTCAATTCCAGTTAAATAAAAAACATACTAGAGTAGGGATCAACACTGTTTCACTAAAAAAAGAGCATACCATGATGAAAAAAGGCCCCAAACTTGAGGATTTAGAACATTTGATATTTTGATTAAAAATCTTGTTTTTCTTGCATTAGCAGAATACCATTAAAATCAGTGATGTTCATCATTTTTGAGAAATTTGTAAACAAAAAGTTAAATTCTCTAATTTCTCTTGTAAAAATAAATTATACCTTTTTTTCAAAAGTTATTTGAGGAAAATTAGAAAATTCAAAATTTACTTAATTTAATGGCAACAAACATTTTTTTTTTTAATTTTTTCCCAGTAAAAATGTAGTTGAAAATAAGAGAAGCATGTCTTAACTATGGTGACTTGTTTTTGAGGTGTTAACTGACAGTTACATTGATGTATTGACAGCTTAGGTCAGGGAAAAGTTATTGAATGGAAGAAAATAAATGACAAGTTTTACAAATTTTAAGTGAACTTATTTAACTACCCAGTAATTTTTAAAAATGAACAAATACTTTCAGCAAGTGTTTTTTTACTTTCTAGAAAAATAAAAAATAAAATACTGACAATAAAATACATTGGAAATTTCATAACAGAGTGAGATAAAATTTCATGAGAGGGGTACCTATAATTTTTACATACATTTATTAGGAAATTTTATATTATTTTTATATTATCTCAGTTATGAAAAATATTCTCATAATTTGAGATAATATAAAAAAATACCATAAAACTTCATAAGATAGGTACCTAATTAGGTATCTTTTTCATGAAATGTTAATTTTTTCACCTTATTATTAATATTGTGATATGACAGTTATGAAAATGTTAAATTTTTGTATTAATTATATAATCATTTACACTTATTTTATTTAATGTCTAAAGCCTGAAGAATGTGATTCCCTTTGTTTCTGTCTCTAGAATTGAAACTAAAAAAGACAATAATTGCAATATGTATCTCACTGAAAAACAAATTAATTATATTTAAATTTACAGCGTTAAATTCTTCAAGTTTTCATATATTTTTTACCATAAATCATGATTTTCTAAAAAAAAAAAAAAAATGCCAAAAATATTTTCATTCATTTGTGAAGCAGCTCTGAAAGTTTCATTAAAAATCCAATTATTTGATTTTTGCAAGGATTTCTAAAATAATGTGTTTTTAACACTAAAAAAAAGTCCCAATACCAATCTTTGGTACATCAAGTTGTTCATAGTCACCAACAAAGTTTTGAGATTTTTTTTTGTTTTTGTAAAAGAAGAAAATTCGGAAGAACTTATTTCATTGTTTACCTTAATGGCTTTCCGATGGAGTGGTATCTCCCAAATATATTCCAAAACAGCATACATAGGTCTTCGATAATTAAATTTCTGTTCAAATGCAACACTTTGGCCCGTCATCTCAATACTGACAAAGACATGTAGCAGTTTCTCTGCTATATGTTTTGCAAGTGGATGATTGTGGAAAACTTTGCCTTCATAGAACCTATGATTGAAAGTAAAGACATTCATTGTGCTTACATAAATAAATAAAAACTAATGCAATTATGACTTTCTTATACTAAAAAGAAAAAGAGAATAGCATACAGAGTGGTGTAAACTGTCTATTATAATCAGTATCATCTGACAACTTTTCTATGACAATGGAATTGAGCACATTTTCAGATTTCAAGAAAAGGGTAAACAATTTCAAGATTCAAATTTAACAACTTTAAAAACAAAAAGAAAACAGACTACAACAAAACAAAATAACCAATAAACAAAAACAAACAAAAATTCAAGTGTAAATTTAGAAAAACATTTATATTAAACATTTTACATTTTGTAGGTTATTTATTATGATAAATATCGGAACTAAAGTTTAAATACTCACAATAACATACTAGCAAACATATATAAAACACATGGAAAAAATGGTTATAGAGATCCCACCTAATTTCATAAATTATATAAAATTTAAAGCGTACAACTGCACCTCCAAAACTCTAGATGATCAGAGCTTCGTAATTGATCTCTCCTCTGACCTAGCTCTAACAGATCAAACTCACTGGTCATATTAAATGCCTTGAAAACCAAATTAGTGACATTCCATCATAACTGATCAAACCCTGAATTTTCACCTTTTGCAATGAACAGGTGTTCTCATGGAAGTCCTGTGCCTTATGTACCTATTGGGACATAAACTCAACCCAGATCTCAAGTGGAACTGATACATATGATCTATCACCAAGGACAAATGAAAAAATGGTTAGTTCCCTGTACTGCTCCAGAAAGTACCTGACTGCTCCTCCTGCTATCCTCTATCTTTACAAGAGCAAGATCAGGCTGAAAATGGAGTACTGCTGCCATATATAGACAGGAGCTACCC